GTGGGTACAGGAGCGGCTTCGCACGGCGCAGTCTAGGCAGAAGAGTTACGCGGACATGAAGGTCTGTGATGTATCTTTTATGGTTGGGAGAAAGTTTTGCTGAAGGTATCACCCATGAAGGGTGTTATGAGGTTTGGGAAGAGGGGCAAGTTGATCCGCCGGTTCATTAGGCCTTTTTAGGTGCTTCAGAGGTTAGGGGAGGTGGCTTATAAGCTTGCCTTGCCACCCAGCTTGTCAAGTGAGAATCCAGTGTTTTATGTTTCCATGCTCCGGAAGTATGTTGGCGATCTGTCCCATGTTTTGATCTTCAACACGGTTCAGTTGGAGGGTGATATAACTTATGATGTGGAGCCAGTGGCCATTTTGGATCGGCATGTTCGGAAGTTGAGGTCAAAGGACATAGCTTCGGTGAAGGTGCAGTGGAGAGGTCAGCCTGTGGAGGAGGCCACCTGAGAGACCGAGCGGGAGATGCGGAGCAGATATCCACACCTATTTGAAACTTCAGGTATGTTTCTAGACCCTTTTCGAGGAAGAACGTTTGTTTAAAAGGGGGAGGATGTAACGACCCGGCCGGTCATTTCGAGCATTATAGCCCTGTTTTCTCCATTTCTGCTTCCTTTTGTGCTTTTCAGTTATATTATGATATATTGGGTTCGTTGGTTCGGGTACGGAGTGGTTTCAGAATGAATTGAGACACTTAGTCTCTTATTTAAAACCTTAAGTTGGAAATGTCAACTAGATGTTGACTTATGTGTAAACGGTCTCGGGTTTGAATTTTGATGGTTCCATTAGCTTCGTTAGGTGATTTTGGACTTAGGAGAGCGTCCGGAATGTGATTCGAAGGTCCGTAGTGGAATTAGGCTTGAATTGGCGAAAGTTGGAAATTTGGCGATTTCGATCGGCAGTGGAAATATTTGATATCGGGGTCGGAAGGGATTTCCGAAAGTTGGAGTACGTTCATGGTGTCATTTTTGACGTGTGTCTAAAATTTGAGGTCATTCGGACGTGGTTTGGTAGGTTTCGGCATCGTTTGCGGAATTTGAAAGTTTAGAAGTTCTTAGACTTGAATTCGAGGGTAATTTGGTGTTTTGATGTTGTTTTGAGTGATTCAAAGGCTCGACTAAGTTCGTATGTTGATATATGACTTGTTGGTATGTTTGGTTGAGGTCTCGAGGGGCTTGGGGTTATTCCGGATAGCTAACAGGAGGTTTGGAATTTGGAAATGCAACTGAACTGCTACTGCTGGTGTTTTTCTGCACCTGCGGAAGGGGGAGCCGCAGGTGCGAGGTCGTTGGTGCACTTGGTGAGCCGCAGATGCGGACATAGAGAACCTGGGCTGGAACCGCAAGTGCGTAAGAGTGGTCGCATCTGCGAGCCCGCAGATACGAGGCTGAGTCGCAGATACGGAAGTGAGGAGTTGGTCGATATCCGCAGAAGTAGAGAGGGATGCGCAAGTGTGCAATCGCAGGTGCGAGATTTGGCTGCAGATGCGGAACCTGGGATTTTAAGTGAGTTCCGCACCTGCGATGGAAATTTTGCAGGTGCGGTATCGCAGAAGCGTAAAAGTGGACCGCAGATGCAGTTTCACTGGGCATAAGGTATAAAACGGGGACTTCGTGATTTTTGCTCATTTCCACCATTTTCAATTCGGACTTTGGAGCTTTTGGAGTGATTTTTGAATGGGATTCAAGGGTTTTCACAGAGGTAAGTTTCTTGAGCTCTAATACTCCTAGCTATGGTGTTTTCTCGTTGTTTTCTCATCTAATTAGTGGGATTTAGGAGTGAAAATAGGGGGTTAGGGCTTGGGATTTTGGAGAGTGTAATTTGAGGATTTGAGGGACCAAATGATGTCAGATTTTGATAAATTTAGTATGGGTAGACTCGTGAGTGAATAGGCTTTCGGGTTTTGTGACTTTTATCGGATTTTGAGACGTGGGCCTAGGAGCCAGGTTTGAGTGAATTTCGGAATTTGGCCTATAAATTGGTATTTTCCTTGTGGGATTCGTTCCTTTAGCTCATATTGATCATATTTTATTGCTCGTGGCTAGATTCTGGTCATTTGGAGGCCGGTTCGAGAGGAAAGGGCATTCCGGAGTAGGAGTTCTACGCTATTGAGGTAAGTAACAATTTTTAATCTGGTCTTGAGGGTATGAAACTCGGAGTTCGGTATAATGTGACTGTTTGGAGGTGGCACCCATGCTAGATGACGGGCGTGTGGGTGTACGCCGTGAAGGATTGAGACTTGGTCTGTCCCGGGAGACTCTGAAGTCTAATAGCTTTTATTTGTGTTTATATGCATTCCTGTCTACTAGAACTTGATTATCTTTCATGTTAGAAATCATGCTTAGGCTATATTCCTGCTCATGGTAGTTATATTCAGTCATAGTGATTCTTGTACATCTTTACCTCAGTCTATGTTATTTTCCCTGATGATATACTGTAACACTTTGATTTAGGTTGTTTTCCCTTTCTTTATTGAGAGCTATGAGACTAGAGAGGTTCATGACTGAGTGAGGTCGATGGCCTGTTTGTGAGGTATTGTACCTTAGCATGTGAGTTGTCCGTGCGGATTCTGATATGATATGGTGGCACGTGAGTTGTCTGTGCGGGCCTTGATATGATATTATAGCACGTGAGTTATCCGTGCAGCACGTGAGCTGTCCGTGCGAATTATAGAGCTTGGGTTGTAGGAGCCCCTCATGAGTCTGAACACCCCCAGTGAGTGCATGTACCTATTGAGCGTGTGCATTGAGGGCTAAGAGTTGAGTGTCGAGTTATTGAGGGTTTGAGTGACAGTGTCTGTGAGGTTTCATCTATTTCACTTTGTTGCTGCATTTAGCTGATAATTGTCTGGCTGGAATTGGTAATTATGCAACTGATCTTTTACTCATGTTTACTCTTAACTGTGAAAATTATCAACTGAATTGTTCTGTATAGCTCGTCACTACTTCTCAATTCCTTATTTATTTATGTTACTTACTGAGTCGGTTGTACCCATATTACACATTGCACTACATGTGCAGATCCAGGTGTGCTTGAGCATGGAGACTGTTGAGTCCAGGCCTGTTCGAGTTTCGGAGACTGCAAGGTAGCTGCCAGTGTATGCATGACCTTGTTACTCCTTCCACATTTCTTTCCATTTTGTACTGATATTTAGACATTGGTTGTAATAGTTTTAATTACTTAGACGCTCATGACTTGGTGACATCCCGATGTTTGGGGCTCGTTTTCCGCACTTTGTTCCAAATTTGAGTTTAACTTTGATTTTTATGAAACATTCCTGATATGGAAAGCTTTACTTTAATTTTATATTTAGTTTGGAAGTATTTTTGGAAAGATCGGCTTGCCTAGTACCACTGATAGACACTATCACGACACGTTAGGTTTTGGGGTCGTGACAAAAACCTTAAGAAAAGGTTGACCGGTGCCAAAGAAAAATGGAAGGAAATTTTGCCCGAAGTCCTGTGGGCATACCGTACGATCTCAAAGTCCCGTACCAGGGCCACCCAATTTTTGTTGGTCTCCGGTGCCGAAGCACTAATACTGGTTGAGGTAGGAGAACCGAGTTTCAGGTTCCGATATGCGACCGAAGAGTCGAACGGTGAGGCCATGAGCACGAGCTTGGAACTATTGGATGAAAGGCGCGAGGCCGCCCTCGTCCGATTGAACGCCCAGAAATAGCGGATTGAAAGGTATTAAAACCGGAGAGCCAACCTCCGACACTTCAATATCGGGGACTTGATGTTAAGAAAGGTGACACTGAACACCCGGAACCTAAACGAAGGGAAGCTGGGACCGAATTAGGAAAGTCCATATCAAATTATCGAGATTACCGGTAAATGTTCGTACAACTCGAAGCAGGGAACGGTGAGCAGCTATCGAACAACTAGAACGTGACCCACTTAAAACGATACTACTACTAAGGTACGACTCTATTCATTATTTTTTTATTTATAAATATTGCGAATTGGACTAAATGTAGTTGTTAGGTCTGAAAGCACGCGTTGCATTCTTTTTTCCTTGAACCGGTTTTGTACCAAATGGGTTTTCCAACAAGATTTTTAATGAGGCAACAGTGGATCGTGCTAACTTAGAATCGAAGACCGGTTTTGAATCGGAGTCGATGGTCACGTCAACAGTATCCGAACCCTCTCGACTATAGACCTCGAATACTGAGGGTCATCACCCGCGGGTCATGATTTTTAGCAAGGAAGGAAACTTTGGGCTCGATCAGTCTAGGTTCGGTAGTTAGGATTTATTATAAGGACCAGATGATCAAATCAATCGTGCCCATGTAGGTCATACTGGCCGCAATACGAGCTTTTACACAATCTTGTACGTTACGCACAGAAATGAAAGAAAGTGTCTACCTTACTAACAAACATTGTTTGCTTCTTAAAAGTATCGAGCCTAAGGGATACTAGTGCCCGAGAATTATCGAGCCCAAGGGCCACCCCTATTCGAGCCCAAAAGGCTACCCCCACTAGGGGATTGCCGTCCTTGATAAGTTCAAATGGCTCGAGTTATCGAAACCCAGAGACACAAAACCTATTAGGTAGTGCCCAAACCTAAAAGGCTACGGCCATTCTAAAAATATGGCTCAGAGACGTACGAAGCCCGTAATCAAAACATAAGGCCTTCAAAATTTCAAATCGATTCAAAGGTTACCCTCGGAAATATTATAGTCTAAAAACATTTAAACAAGCATTTTGGGGTAAGCTTCCGGTCATTCCGAGCCCTCACAATTTTCAAAGAAAACTTGCATCGAGAACAAGTTTTGTTCGGACCTCCGAAAAATAACTTTACATTTTATTCCGTGCTATGGCATTTGAAATCTATGCAATTGTAAAAATGATGTAAAGGTAATAGACTTGAAAATTGCCAAAAGGGAAAAAACTTTATATGTACATTCCAGAATGTATTTACAAAGGCCAATGAAAACGGCCTCAACAAAATAAATGTACAAGGTGCAAAAACAAAGACAAAATTTCCTAAGGCACCTACGCCCGATCTTCATCAGAACCCGCCTCGTTACCAGAGTCGTCGAGTCCTTCTTCACCTTCATGTATGTCGGAGCCCTTAGAGCCTTCTTCATCCTCGGGATCAGCCAGCTTCTTGGCCTTGACCTCAAGCCTTTTCGCCTCCTCGATCTCGGCAGATAGGTCGATGCCTAGGGCATGGATATCTCGAGGGTCTCCCTTAGAGACAACCGCTTCATACACTCAACAGTGGTTTTCAGACGGGCCTCGGATGCCTCGACATTGCCCCCATACTGGGCTACCATCTCTTCAGCATCGGTGGAGGTTGTGCGCATCTGAGCCTTTACAGATTCATATTCACTGCCGAGGGCATCCCGCTCTACTAGGGCTGAGTTCAGTTGAGCTCGGAGTTCCTCGTTCAGCCGGGCTCGCTTATCGGCCTTCTCTTTTGTCACTTGGAGTTGAACTTCTACCGATGCCAGCTGAGTTTGAGCGGTCTCCTTCTCCAAAGCCAGTCGGTCCATTTTGCCCTTCCAAACATCGGCCATGACTTGGACCTCGTTCATTTCAGCTCGGAGTTGGTCGATCCGGTCAATCTTCTGCTGAACCTGCGAGGTTTGGTCGTTAGTTACCATGGCTAAGTCCTCATTGCTAACTTTGAAAACCTTTACCTTTCCGACTAAGTCGGCATGCTCCTTCTGAGCCGCATCCAGCTTGGTCTGGAGATTCTTGACGACCCCTCCGTGTTGCTCGCTGAGAAGCTTATAAGTGTCTCTTTTCTCAGCAAACTCCTTGATCTCGGCGAGCTGGTTAACCTCGGCCCGTTACCAAAGAAAGCTTTCGTGATGGAGAACTGAGGCCTGCAAAAGGGTAAAAGAAAGAAGACGTGAGAAATATCAAGGATTAAGTCAAAGGTCGAAATATCGTAATGATACCTTACCTGATTTAGTGCCTGATGTGCCTCGTTGAACATGCACGGTACATCCACCTCGTTCATATTCGTCTGGTCTTCTTTGGTCACCAGGCATCGAAAGTGACTATAGACCTCTTGCGGCCGGGATCCACGCTCGGGGTAGGGAATTGGTTGACTAACTTCGGGCTCGAATTCAGCCCACCGACTTCTGAAGACGACCCCTTTCACTTCTGAAGACGACCCCTTTCTCGGCACCTCCAGGTCGCCTAGCCTGAAACAATCCTCCAAAACGGACGAGTCCACACCATCAAAAAAGGAATAAAGGGGATCGTTCGCGCCATGAGTCCCTTCGTTAGACCTCTCGTTTCCCACTCGGGGCTACCTCGAGTATGGACTCGGTATAGGAAGGCGACCCTGAAATCTCTATTATACCGAGTTCCTCCTTTGGGGTGTGGCTGGCATCTCGAGAAGTCTCGGCCTCGGTCTCCTCATCGACCCCCCGGGCCTTAGGGCGATCAGCCTCATGGATCTCCTCTTTAACGGCTTCTCGCTCCTCGGGGGTTGTTGTCCCGTGGGCCACAAAAAAATCATCTTTTTTGGGATCATCCCTGAGCCGATAAAGGGAATCCGAGTCAGGCGCTCGAGAACTAGAACTTTCCTTTGGCTTACGGGCCAACCTTTACTTTGGCTTCTTCTTCTCTGAGCTCGAGGATCCCGGAGCCTTTCCTTTTCTTCTTTTCTTCTTTTCTTCTACTGCAGCCTCGAGCTGCCCCAAAGCGGAGGGGTCAACGGACGGATCCTCGTCCCCTACTAAAGGCCAAAGCTCAATGGTCTTAGGCAAACATGCAAAAGGAAAAGTGAAGAAAAAAGGGTAAATATGATACGAATGAGAGAGCCAGATGTTACCTATTTGAGGAAGGGTATTACCGTAAAAACGGGCCTCCCAACGGCCCCTCGAGAGTTTGCGCCATAAGCGCTCGGAATAAGGCATCTATGAAAAAATGCCCTCGATCCACTCCTTGAGCCGAGGGATCGCGTTTGGGACTCGAGTAACGGCTGCACCACCACAAATACCAGTAAAAAGAGAGGGGATGAAGGTAAAATGGCGTTCAAGGGGAAACTAAACTTACGAGATGCGTTCCACTTCTCGGGGAACGACATGAGTTCGGGGGAAACAAGTCTTCGGTCTTCACCCGAACGATACGTCCCTGCCAACTCCGGTCCCGGTCCCGGTCCTCATCGATGTTCGAGAATGGGGCTATGCTGGCCCGGCGTGTGCCCTCGGAAGATTCGGAGACTATATAGGTGGATTTGACCGAGGCATACTTCGTACCTCTTGTAGAAATCCAAGAGAACCGGGTCCACCGGGCCTAACGTGAAGGGATAAGTGTAAACACTTAGATAACCCTCCACGTGGGTAGAGATGGAGTCCGTAGGCGCGGGGACTACTACGTCCTTACCCGCCCAATTGCATTCCTCTCGGACCGCGGGGAGGACGTCTTCGATAATGGAGCATATATATCTTNCATTTTCGAAGAAGGCTCGACAGCCAGTTCATCGGTAGTCGCATCAGGAGCGAACCTCTCGAGGACGACCACATCGGGAGTAGTCTCATCGATTTCAGCGGTCGGTTGTGAAGAAGAAGAAACGACTTTTTGGGGACAGATTTGGAAGTTTTAGCCATTGTTATCTCAAAAAAGCTGGAAAAATATAAAGAGATGATGAAAGATGAAAGGTCAAGTGCGCTGATTTGGGTAGAAAGTAAGTAAAAACTTGCAACTTACTGAGAAGTTTTGAAGAATGGAGGCGAAAATATTAGAGTGTGAAGAAGGGTAGTGATATCCTGAAAACTCGAAGGTAGAAGCTTGATCAAAAGGTAAAAAATGAACGAAGGAGGAAAGTAATTATAGAGGTTTTGCGCCGTTTCGCATTCAGGGATGACATGCCGATGGCTGACGCGTGTTTGAAGTCATAATGACACGACTGGCGGGACGTTTCGGATTCTTTGTCGTTTCTGTCACGGCGTATTGAAGAAGGAATCGAAGTGCATATGTCGTTTCTCGTCATTTTCGTAAACTTACTCTCCGAGAAACGAGTGGACTATCTATATACGGGTGAAACCGATCCCTTTGGACGCCTCAGTTCCCGATGAAGTAAACGGAGCAGAGATGTGACTGTAAGGAACCGGAATCGGGGCAAGGAGCCCCTCGAGTCGGGGTCCGGGCAATACACCTGCCCTCCGAAGAATCGAGGCCACTTCCCCCAGGTCCGATTCGAACCCCAAAACTCCGGAAAGCATTACCAGATAATCGAGCACGACAAACAAAGGGTTGTGATATTCGTGCCCAGCCGAATGTTACGGCGTGAATCTCGACACGTATCGGCGGAAAATCAGTGATTAGTAAAACGGAAGATTTTTACCTCTTTTGGAATTGTACTTAGGGTAAAACTCTCCTACTATATAAAGGGGAGTCTAACTATTCTTTAGGCATCATTGTAACACGCATATCAAGGCAATACACTCTTATTTTCTCTGTTATTCAAAGTTCTTACTTTTGTTCATTAGTTCTTCATTATCGTCAGCCCGGGATCGAAAGCAGGCATTTCATTAAAGTTGTTATTGAGTTCGGGATCACTCCCATAATTGGTCTGAATAGTAGTATATAAGAGTATTTGTCCACATTGTCGTTCGGGTCTCCTCACTTAATCTAGTTGGAACCATATGGAGTAAAATCTTGTTTATCTAAAATATCAAATACTATTGAAACGAATTTAGTCTACCAATAATGGAGAGACCAAAGGTACTAGTTAACATCTATGGAAAATGCTCAACTTAGTATATTTATTTTGCCAGTGACTCGTCAATGAGCCTCAGATAATTGTTAGATATGACGTTTCACAGTTGAAATTTCTCATGCGTTAAATCATAAATCCGTTCATCTGCCATATTTTTGCTAAATCCCACAAATGTAGTTTGGTTATAGAATACTCTAAATTGATAATACAATGTGTAGGGACTCAAAGTGAAAGACATTTATTAGTTTTAGCCATAAGAGTATTTTGTCTAATACTATTTCTCTCTTTCTCACTTAATTGATACTCACTAATAGGGAAGAAAGTACTAAATGACTTCCTATTATTCTAAAATATAAAATATTTGAAACAAATTTAGTTTTCCAAAACAACTAATATTTGGTCGGGTAGTAAACATATAAAAGAAAATGCGCAACTCATTATGTTATAAAACAGACTAGCACTTCGCAACAGAGCTACTAAATGTTAACTGTGTGGTAAAACTTAAAGATGACCCTTGAATGCACATATCATCGCCTGAGTCAATTCCAAAATCAAATAAAATCTTTAGAAAGGAAATATTATTTTTTCGCAGGACAAAGGGTAGAACTGTAGAAGAAATGAGGACTGTAAAAAGGCATTTCAGAGCTAACTGTAGAAGAAATGAGGACTGTAAAAAGGCATTTCAGGGCTGAGAAAATGCCCCAACAAGAAGCTAAACGTGAGTAGCTGTGATTACTGCTTCTTCTCTTCTGCTTTCTTTGGCTAAAAATTTGCACATAAATGAAAGTTAGAAAAACAACCATATAAATAAATAAATAGGAATAACAATAGACAAACTCACTCCAGGAACACTTGGCTACCAAAAAAAAAAACTAACCTCCCTCCCCCACCCCGAAAGTAGGGAACAATTTCAAAGTTTAACCTACGCAGCACCAATGTGGATACAAGGTTATCCGATTTTTTTTAATTTTTTTTTTTATGAAGGAATCCGAGGTTATCTGATTACGAAAAGTTTCACCATTTTGGGGAGTAGAACATTATATATGCTAGATATGATCTTCTTAGAAGGCTTAATCTTTCCTCTAGAAAGTAAAGGGATAGCGAGAAAGATTTCATCTCTCCTTAAATGAAATGCATGTACTTCCAGTGTCCAAATCGCTTTCATATTCATAAAGAAGAAGCACACTGGAGGACGAGCAGGACAGAGAAGAACAAGATGCAATGAAGAGTAGGGAACAAGATGAAAAAGAAGAAGAGACTCCAAAGCAGCACACATCAATAGCCAAACTCAGTGTCAAAGTGGTGTCCAAATATCCAGACATCATACACCCACGATCAGAAGTTCAAAATCAGCCTTTTACATTTTTTTAAAGATAGATTTGATCTTACCTGGTTTTAGAACTTCACAATAAGTCGACTAAGTGAAGCTCTGTAAGAATTTCTTAGGCAACATAAAGTATGGGCAACTGCCAACTAGTAACTGTTGAAGCTTAACACTCTAGATTTCACCTCACCATTCACATTTCTGTCAAGATGTCACACTTTAATATTTCCGCACTCAATCCTTAACCCTGTGATCATGTCATGCTCAAAATTTTAAAATCTGCATCAAACATTTAGCTGTTCCGACAGGAACTTCTAGGTAACCAGCCTCCCTAGACTAGTACCTAGCAACTGATCGTGGAGCATACCAATATGAGTAACACTTCCAATGGTAACAAAATCAGTACATAGAAACAAATGCTCTCTTATGAATGATTGTCTTAAAGTCAGAAAGCTACTAAATTCTTCTATAATTTGATTTTAAACAAATTTTTCCAAGGCTCTGGATTCAATCCTGAACGCTCCTCAAAACTACCACACTGCCTGTAACTAGAGGTGCGGGGCATAGTAACCCTTTAGCTCAGCACTTTTACAACTCAGTCACACACAGTTAGAGTGGCATTATTTAGAACTGGGAAACAAAATGTCAGGTCAAAGATTTTGATATCAAGGAGAACTGAAAATGTTACAAAGATTTCAACCTGTTATTCTTGGTCTACTATGTATTATGCCAGTTATATTAAAGTTGTGTCCTATTAGGAAAATCAATTAAGTACACTAATTTCGCCTAACTAGTACAACAACACATCTTCATTCTGCTCAATTTGACAACCCTTTAGAGTATAACAAATAAACTCTAACATCCAGAAATCACATATATAAAGTAAAACATCTACTTCTCTTATAAAATTTTGTTTTTTCTCACCACAAAATAAGCATAAGCAGGTTGAAAAGCTATACACTCAATCTGTTCGACGATATGCCTCAACCAAATCATAACAAAAAACCACTAAGCATCAACAAAAATAGGGAAAGCACCAACCTTTATTCCGAGAAATGGCTGTTGAAGCTCTTCATCAGGAATAACAACAGGCCATTTCTCACCAGCTTCACGGAACATTTGTTCAGTCTCAAGATACTGACCCTTTTCTAGAATCATAGTACGGATGTTCTGTGCCGGTGTAGAAGTAGCATCATAGCTTTGCTCGACACCATTGACGAAGGTGACTGTGATTTGGGGTGGATGGTCATCGGTGCGGCGCTTGACTTGAACCTGGCAACTTGGGTTTGATTCTTTGGCTTTAGGAGCATTACATTGAGCCAAAAACTCCATACATGAAGCTATTCTTGGGTCTAAGGCATTGAATTCGATTTTCACCTTCGACAAGAATTTCAACATCTTTGCTCTTATTCCTTCTCTTTTGTCTCTCAAACACTAATTTCCACTTCCCCTCTCCTTTGAGGAGTATATATTTGTGAAAAGAAAAAGGAGAATATATTCGGTTTAATAAATTTATTTCATTATTGAAAACATTATTTTGACAATACCTTTTATTATTACTACTCTTTTGGCTTCGACATATTTATGTTCTTGTTATGAAAATAATTATATTGTGAATGTTCATTTATTACTTTGCTATAGATAATATCCATTTAGTACTCTGTTGAAATTTATCTACAAGTAGCTGATGCAGGCAGGTAGCAAACAGCTCAATTAAATGATTTGCAGCACCTTCTTATTAAACAGGTAGGTTGCAAGCAGCTCATGCAGACAGCTTACAAGCAGCTAAAGAAAAACCTTGCAGCTACTTCCTGAAAAGCCTCATAACTACTTCCTTTCTTCTATAAATAGAGGAGTTTTCAGTTCATTATGTACATAAGTTTGAAGTTTGAATAATATATCAATTTCTCTCTATACTTGTCTTTACTTTACATTTTTTATTTTATAACACGTTATCAGCACGAGACTCTGCCATCTCGAGAAAATACTTTGAAAGTATCAGATGTACGAACTTTCTTTTTCTAAATAATATCAAATCTTTCTAAACTTGAGTTTGTAGCCCTAGATATATCGGGCAAAAGCTACATGTCTTGGATGCTTGATGCCGAAATTCATCTTGATGCGATGGGTCTGGCAGACACCATCAAATATAAAAATCAGGCATCAAACCAAGACTGTGCCAAAGCAATGATATTCATACGCCATCACCTGTGGAATAATTTGAAAAATGATTGTTCTTTCACAGGCACATTATGATTGGACTCATCTAAGGCTACAAGATTTTAAATCTATCAATGAGTATAATTCTGCTATATTTAGAATTATTTTCCAATTAAAACTATGTGGTGATAATATTACTGATCATGATATGTTGGAGAAAATTTTCACCACTTTTCATGCCTCGAATATGCTCCTGCAGCAGCAATATCGAGAGATGGGATTTAAAAAGTATTCTGAACTTATCTCACATCTTCTTGTAGTCGAGCAACATAATGGGCTATTAATGAAAAACCATGAAAGCCGACCTACTGGTTCTTGTCCATTCCGTGAAGTGAATGAGACGAACTTCCATCAAGCTAAGCGTGAAAAAGGACGTGGCCCCAGTCGTGGTCATGGCCGTGGTCGGGGAGGAAACTCTAATCGTGGTAATAACAATACACCAAAGAACCCTCCTCACCACCAGCAGTGGAAAAGGAAAGAACAAAAGCATGAAGCGGTGCAAGAAGCAAAGCCAGAAAATGCATGCTATAGATGTGGAGGAAAAGGGCATTGGTCACGTACACGTCGTACGCCAAAGCACCTGGTTGAGCTGTATCAAGCCTCCCTGAAGAAGACAGAGAAAAATTCTGAAGCAAATTCTATTTCTGAAGATAATTTAGACTTCATGCATTTGGATGTAGCTAATTATTTTGCACTCCCAGAAGGAAAAGCAAGTCATGTGATCGGTAGTGAATCTATAGAAATGTAAATATTTAATTTTTTGTTGTTTGTAGTAGATAGTATGGTTATGTAATTGTTGTACATAAATAAAAGTTATACTTTGATAATAATGTTTACTATCATATTTATTTTGTTTATGTCATTTTGAAGAATATGGATAATCATCAAATTATGTTTGGATCAAAGACCAATCATGAAGATATTTGTGTAATTGATAGTGGAACAACTCATGCCATATTCAAAGATCAAAAATACTTTTCTTCTTTGCATAAGGAAAAAAGCAAATATTTCTACAATTTCTGGTAATATAAGTTTGATTGAAGGCTCCGGAAGAGCTATTGTATTTCTGTCTAGGGAACAAAACTTATTAGAGACAATGCATTATTCTCCTCCAAGTCCCGAAGAAACTTGTTGAGTTTTATAGATATCCGCCGAAATGGGTATCATGTTGAGACAATAGATGAAATGAACGTGGAATATCTTTGTATTACAAAGAATATTTCTGGCCAAAAATGTATTGTAAAAAAGTTACCAACTTTATCTTCTGGCTTAGACTATTCAAAGATTAGTACAGTTGAAGCACACTCTATCGTAAACCAGAAGTTTATCGATTCATATACTTTTGTGCTTTGGCATGGCCGTTTGGGCCATCCTGGATCAATAATGATGAGACGAATTACTGAAAATTCGAGTGGGCATCCATTAAAGAACCTGAAGATTCTTACAAATGATGAATTTTCTTGTGATGCTTGTTATCAAGGCAAAATGATCACTAGACCATCACCAATGAAGGTTGGCATTGAGTCCCCTACCTTTTTAGAACGTATACATGGGGATATATGTGGACATATTCACCCACCAAGTGGGCTGTTTAGATATTTTATGGTCCTAATAGAAGCATCTTCAAGATGATCTCATGATTGCCTACTATCATCTCGCAACCTGGCGTTTGCAAAGTTATTAGCCCAAATAATTTGATTAAGGGCACAATTTTCAGAGTATACTATAAAGGCTATTTGCCTTGATAATGCTGGAGAATTCTCATCTCAAGCTTTTGATAATTACTGTCTATCAGTTGGAATAAAAGTTGAACATCATGTAGCTTATGTTCATACTCAAAATGGTCTTGCAGAGTCATTTATTTAAACGGCTGCAATTGATAACAAGACCACTACTTATGAAAATAAAATTGCCCACTACTATTTGGGGCCATGCTATCTTGCACGCAGCATCACTTATCCGTCTCAGACCAACACATTATAATAAATATTCTCAGTTACAATTAGTTTTTGGTCATGAACCAAATATTGCACATCTACAAAATTTTGAATGTGTTGTATATGTGCCAGTAGCACCACCACAGCGCAGTAAGATGGGCCCCTAAAGAAGGTTAGAAATATATATTGGGTTTGAATCACCCTCTATTATTCGCTATCTTGAACTATTGATGGGAGATTTATTTACTGCTCGATTTGCAGATTGTCGATTTGATGAAATAAATTTCTCACAATTAGGAGGAGAGAAAAAGGAAATCAAAAGAGAAATTGTGTGGAAAGTTTCATCATTATCTCATTTTGATCCACGTACCCCTATATGTAATCAGGAGGTCCAGAAGATCATCCATTTACAAAATATAGCAAATCAAATGCCAGACGCGTTTACTGATTTGAAAAGGATAACTAAGTCACATATCCCTGCAGAGAATATGCCTATATGAATTGATGTCCCAGCAGGACCATCTACTAGCATAAGAACTAGTGAACCTAAAGCACGCCTGAAGCGTGGTAGGCCTTTGGGTTCTAAGGATCGAAATCTTAGAAAAAGAAAATCGACAAATGATCAAAATGATAATATGAAGGGATCTCCTGAAGAGACCCAAGATCTGATTAGTTCTGAGATTCCTGAAGAAATCAATGAACCCGAGACTCAAGTGAGTGAAGAACTTTTAATAAGTTCTACTGGTGATGGGATTAATTTAAATCGATCTGAAATAGTGGTGGATAATATTTTTGCATATAATGTTGCACTTAACATTATGCAAGATAGTAAGGATTGTGAACACCGATCTGTCGAAGAATGTCAACAAAGATCTGATTGGCCAAAATGGCAAGGGACAATTCAATCAGAATTGAACACACTTTCTAAAAAAGAGGTCTTTGGACCAGTAGTCCAAACACTTGCTGGTGTAAAACCAGTTAGTCATAAATGTATTTTTGTGCGAAAAAGGAATGACCAAAATAAAGTTGAAAGATACAAGGCTCGCCTTGTCGCACAAGGATTCTCACAACGACCTGGAGTCGATTATGAAG